CATTACTCACAAAACACACTTTACGGTTTAATCATAATCTATATTGAGATGAAACTACTATTAGTAGATATTTGTTAAAACGGAGGCACATCTAGTGTTATTGAAAATCGTCGTTTAATATAATCTTTCATCTAAAAACAAACGTATTGGAAATTAAAAAGTCCTATTGTTAATGTTCGTAGTACTAGAATAGACTCGGCAAAATGAAGGAAAGTGGAAAATATTGACAAAGCGAAAAACTCATTATTCCCTCGCAGGTTGGAGGAGGTCGCTAGGCTAACAAGACAAGCATCTACTTTTCCATTCCACATTTATCCAAGCGAACATCAAGGGACAAATAAAATTTTAAAAGTGGGGAAAAAGCGCGCCATTTCTTGCTAAATAAATAATAAAAAGATAATCCGAATAAATCACCATAAGAGTCTTATTCGCGCGAATTTTATAATCAAATTCATTTTCATTGTTTGTGTTCTCGAGCGGAGAATTGTTATATCTATTTTTGTTATATTTGTAATTAAGAAAATAAAACACACACAAACATAACGGTTTACAACGCGTAATATTTTAGTATAAGTAATTTAAACACGGCGAGACAACGACTGCTGCAAGACATCCGAAATGTCGGGCTACTATATTTTGTGTTTTAAACCGTTAAAGGGTTTTATTTAAATTTGTACCACTAGACAGTATATTTGTAATTTAAGTGTTCAGGAGTGTATGTAATTTTATTTGAAAATGTTTTCAACATCGTTTTCCAATATAAATTTACATGAATAGAAGAAGTAGCAAATATTGTATAGTTGACATTCTCTTCATCAATTGTCTTCGTAAATACAACGTAAGAGATTTACCGGTAACCAATAACTTTTATTTATTCCCACCTGACGTATAAAAAAAACTGAAACGTTTTTCAGGCAATTCTAATGATATCGCCACGTTAGAAAAGAAGGCTGATTTTTTGTGTCGATAACCGAACATTTCTTTCGACTTTAGGTAAAAGGGAAAACGATCTTCAGCTGCTTTCAGAAACGGTCGCTATAAACGCTATGGGAGTTATATTTGTCGAAGAAATTTTATTGCTTGTCTTTTTTTTCTTTTCATTGCTTTGCTTTTAAATAGATACCTGTATTTGGAAATTATAATGTAGATATGTACGTCTATAAATTGTTAATTCTAAAATATACCAAATACTTATTACGAATGTCGATTCATGTCATTTGGCCAAGCATAAAAATAAATATTTTTTTATTTGTAAATAAAAACATTACCTTAAATATAACACTTTTAATGGTTTAAAACACAAAATATTGCTTGAATTATAGATTACATTTACTTGACGTAGCCGTCGTGTCAGTAATCGTGGCGACATCTTTAATAACATCAGCACTGTTGATAAATAATACAATTTTAATACTTTGAAATCCCTTTGTCCCTATGTGTCGAGTGGAAGACATATTTTAATATCCGTCTCATTAATCATAGTTCATCAAATCGCTCAGATCGCTCGAAACTATTATTTTCGCCAGGGATTCAAACCCAAAACGAAACGCGGTAGGCTTCACTATTGAGCCAAAGATACGGTCAACGAGCCAAAGGTAATTTTAAAATCTTGATAACCAGCGGCTATAACGCTGAAAGTATCAAACACTATGTATAATGTACATTAAATTATTGATTTATGGCCAATAATCAACGGTAGTCAATCCCATGTCCAAAGCTAAGAGTAGATTAATAACACATCTTGCTTACATGTTATATCTTAGTTGGAATATTTCTATACCTACAATGAATTGAAGCCACTGCTTGTCTGTCTCTTTCTTGTTTTCAAAAGCGAATTGATCATAATCAAACGCCTAATTTAATTGCGAGAATAAATTTAGGCAGAAATTTTATTACTTTTTCGACTGAACTTGCCAAAATAGTGGCAGGCGTTAAATTTAACTATCTTTAATTACTGTAAAAAGCATAAATAAAATAACAAATTATTTATATATTCCAACTTTTATTCACTTATTATTGGAGCAAATAAATTAAAATTGTTAAAAACAAAAAATACAATATTAATAAAAGTTATAAGATAAATGTTTATCGCATTTCATAAACCAACAACATAGTAATAAGATCAAAAGAAAAAGTGTTCTTTAAATTGAAAATAAAAAACAAAAAGATCAGGCGCCGCCGAGATTCGAACTCAGGATCTCCTGTTTACTAGACAGGCGCTTTAACCAACTAAGCCACGGTGCCGATAGCGCAATGAGCGAATTAAAGGAATGTTTAGTAAGATATTTTATAAAAATCTTTAGCGAATTGAAAATATATTATATTTAGTAGTAATATTAATAACTACTATTCATATATTAATCATTTACTATGTCATTATATTTTTTAGTACATTTATTATTATGTCCAAAGTTGTTTTAACTTTTTATCACCACTCGAAATGACTTAATTACACAGTACACAGTAGTTTATCTTAGATATTTTGTCAATAATAATAAACTTTTTTAAGAAAACGTATTTAAAAATGACATAAAAGAAGGCATTGATAAAGAAATAATTGTGAAAAGATTATCATATTATAGTTCCACGTGGTATAAAAAATAGGCACCGCCGAGATTCGAACTCAGGATCTCCTGTTTACTAGACAGGCGCTTTAACCAACTAAGCCACGGCGCCGGCACGACATCGGTTGAAATATCCAAACGTAAGTTTATCAAACAAAATACATACCTGGAGATAACAGTTAATTATGATATCCTTCATTTTTATAATATCTTTATCGTATATCCTCTTTGAGACACAGAAATTTTATAGTTCTTATAATTAAAATAATACAATATTATTTAAATAATATTATACAATTCCAAGTCCCGAAGTAGTATTGCCCATATTTCAATCTTATTAGAAATCCCGTTTCCCCATGTGAAGCATGTAAACAGACAAATTGGTGTATCTGTTTTTATTTTAATAGGCACATATTGTTGACACCGATGGTCTAATCGATCTGATGGTGGCAATGTATGGCTGATAATCGACGGGTTGTTAGTTTTGCCACTACTGAGTCTAACATGTATGTGATTAAACTTTTCGTCCGGAAATCTGGTTATAAATAGTAGGAATTCCGTCCGGGTGACTAGTACCACACTGTCAGATGAAAAATCATTTGTATCCTCCTACCTCAGTTTTATGAAGCGATGCGTTGCGTTAAGCACAAGATTTCGGGTTTTAGGTATGTAAAGTCAAAGTGGTCGTTTATATATTTTTCTCTCCTATGGGTTTGTCATAGGAAAGAAAGGATACGACACTTCTACTATATAATTGTAAAGTACATATAAATAAAACACTTTAACGGTTTCAAACGCGATATATTAGTTAAACTTATTTGAAAATGATTTTTTAACTACGGCCCGACGTTTCGGATGCTTTGCAGAAGCCATGGTCACAGGAAGACTAAAGTTGGAGGATGTAAAACATAAACGTCCTCAACCACCAACACGGAAGGGCCCAATCATTACATTCGCTTTGACTCAACCAAAAATCCCCGCAAAGGAGAGTCGATTTTTTCAACATTGGTACGCAACAATTGAATTTAAAAAAAACTAACTTCATAGGGCGGACGGCCTCAAATTATCAAACACAGGATCTCAAAAAAGCTACCGGCAAATGCGAAGCCGTTAGTCAATTCTGTAAGGACCCGGCCAGTTTCCTAAATACCAACTTCACGGACAGAGCGCTATGCAATTTTACTTGACGTTAGAGACATCCTCCATCTTTAGTCTCCCCTGACCACGGCTGCTGCAAAACCCGAAACGTCGGGCCGAAGTTAAAAATCATTTTCAAACAAGTTTAACTAATATATCGCGTTTTAAGCCGTTAAAGTGTTTTATTTAAATGTGTTCTACTCGCGTAAACTTAGCAGTATGTAAAGTACATAGTTACATTCAACAAAATCATCCTTTAAAGAACTGTTACACCGTATGTTGCCTATAAAGTTTAAAAAATTGTATTAAAAACATTACCTACTTGGTAGTTCACAGAATAAAAAAATTCATTCGAATAGTGTAGGAGAATGTCCTCATTACAAATATTAGGATACTGTCCGTACTTTACGCGAGTAGTAATAATAAAACACTTTAACGGTTTAAAACGTATAATATATAAAAAGGGTTTGTAATAAATAAACTTATGGGTTATTCATATAAATAAGTCAGTAATATCAGTACTAATCCGTTATGATCGATGAGAGTATGCAAAAACATGATTTATTTTATTATCTGTTTCCTCTGTGTACGATGATTTGCAGAAGACAATGTAAATATTTCCTTTGATTGTTTAAATGGTTTGCGAACCAATAATATTGATCACTGATACAAGTAATAACTTATTTATTATTTATATTATTTGTTTAATTTTAATTTGAATGTACAACTGTTGCCGTTTCTTTAAACATGTCACAAAGCTCTTACACTATAACTAACAAACTCACTTATACAGTGATTAGGTTTAAGTCTACTTAATTAGTTTGCCTTCTCGTGTGGTTTGGGATTACGTGACCTTGGTCAAGACCACCCTAGGGTAAGGGGAGACTTTATCGGAGACATCAAATATATTCGATCTACGCTAATATTATCAACATATCATATTCAAGTAGAAAATGAACTTATCTAAATAGTAAAATAATGGCACATAGAACAATTCATTCCTTTTAGTTTTTAAAGTGGGTAAGTCATATTTTAATTCGATATTCTATAGTATTCAAAATCAAATCTAAGTCCAAAACGGATCTCTATTTTCTAAAATACTGGGTCCTAAGTTTCACATTAAGTTTTTTAAATACATAATATTGTATCTTCACAAAAAAGCAACTTTTTTGTTCATTTTGTGAAACGGTCGTTTATCCAAGACCAATAATAACAAAGTCATAAATAATAACTGTTTATTAAAAATAAATATAAAATTTGGATTTCAAAATGGCGCACTCTATTAACGCTGTAACGCGACTAGCTGGGGGCGGTCATTTTCCTTAGATCCTTCAGTTGTTGATTTTCAGACACCAACGCTTGGACCCTCTGTTCGTACTTTTCTCTTAATTCCTGTTAAAAAAAAAACAAAAGAAATATGAAGCCGTATATTAGATTGCGTGATGAAAAAAATGCTACAGACAATATATAGCGTTATTGCTACAGATAACACTGTGCCGTTTCTCTGCTATGTGTGTACTGTTCTGTGGTCCGAGAGGAGCCCGCTTTTAAAATAAGTAGAACTAAAGTAATAAATTCACATTTAAATGCTAAAAAACTCGGAAATATAACTCCAGAAAATTACTGACATGAAGAAAATCTTTTTACTTACCTTAAATATAGCGAGCTGAGTCTCATACTCCTTTTTAAGATCATCGTTGAGACCAGAGCTGGTCTGTGCCCGTTGTAACACTAGGGCGTGGCGCTCTTTCTCTGCTTTGAAGCGGGCCTCCATTGCTGCCAAACGATCCTGAACAATTTCAAGTGTTAGTGTCAAATAAGCTTAATTAATAATTAATTATCAATGTTTTTATGATAAGTGGACAAGTATTGAGGATTATAATATTTATATCAGAATTTATTAATATTGAATCGGAATATAATATAGAATATTTAAAATATTTCAAATTTGCACAATATATAAATATAACAACAATATTAAAATACAATAGTTGTCCGTGCCTGCGACACTATGGAAAACGAGCTCTTTGTCGCTTCCTACATGTTAGGACAAATTATCAATAAACGATTTTCAAAGAAGCAACAAATATTTATACGACAACAATTTTGTGGCTAAATAAGTAAATCAATAAATCATTTTAAAGATATGTATACATTTTTAAAATCTTTTTTGAAAATCCAAAAACAAACCTTCCTTAACCTTCAAGAAGGTTCAAAATGTTTGCGAACGCCTAATTAAACCCAATTTATTTGTAAATGAGGTTTAACTTACTTCCATCGCTTTGACTTCAGAGTTCCTAATGTTAAGTAAATCCTTGGTGATGACATTGATATCCTTCAGAGACTGCACCTGGCTGTTAAGGGCCTCGATTTGCAGCTCTTGGTTCTTCACCATCTTTGTTTTATCGAAAATCATGCCGCGGGCCTTGCTCAGAAGCTGATAGATAGAAAAATAGTTATCAACAAAACGTAAATAATACATTTTGTAATATAGAATAAATACAGGGGTACAGACATAACAAACCATGATATAATTGATTAAATAGTTGGAATATTTAATAACAACGAATTTGATTATGGCCAAAATAATACTTGCTTTTGAATTCAATGAATATGTAAAAATCCCCGCGAGACTGCGCTAAACAGATGCGAAAACGAACTGAACGATGTTCTTCCGTTAATTAAATTATAATATATTTGAATACCTATAAAAAGCATTTCCTTTTGTGCTATAAACATACTTCAATGAATTTAATGAAATTAGGATATACAATTTGTATGAAAAGTTTCCGTTCGGTTGGGCGGCGCAAGTTGGAATAACTATAACTTTTCATTATTAACACGGCCGCAATAAATCTTTCGAGCCGTCACAAGTTAACAAAGCCAAGAGGCAACAAGTCGATGAGAAAATACATTAGTTTCAATAAACTGTCAACGTAGCTGTATTCGTTGGAATACAAACAATTTGTGGGAGATAACTGATTTTGGAAACTTTGTCACCAATTACAAGGAATTCATACAATCTTGTTAATTTAAGATAAGTTTTAGATCACTTGTCGTATTGTACAATTGGTATTTATTTATAGGTTAAATAAACTACCATGTGATGGTATAAGAACTAGATATTTCGAAAGAGTAGATCAGACACCCGTTTCTGTGAAATATCGTAAACGGTAGTACGTAGTCAATGTAAATAATAAAAAACCCCAGTCCATGGCCCGACAAGTCCATCCGAATTTTTTTTTGTTTTATTGTTTACCTCTTCATGTTGCTGCTTAATGTTTTGTATAATCTCCTGATTCTTGCCGGCCGGCTTTGATAGAGCCGCATGTAATTCTGTCTCCAAGTTCTTTACCCTACTCCGTAGTAAGTCTATTTCCTCTTCGCGAACCTACAACATCAGTTACAAGTAGGTGCAAAAAAGCCTTTCAATAAATTCATACAAGATAAAAACAATTGATAAATTGAAATAATTATGACTCACCTTCAATTCCAGTCTTAGTCCGTCTTCACTCCTTTCATTTTTAACTTTTTTCTAATTCCTCGATTTTTTTCAATAACGCTTGTTCGCGTTGTCGCCATTCTTCCTACGGGACACACATTACTTAAGACAAACTAATGAAAATTTTAAATATGTATGTAAATTTGATACATAGAGGGTAATTGAGACTACTTACGCGGACTTATTTTTTTTAGTGACTTATTTTTTAATTATGGTTATACACTTGAAGGTAAAAACATACCGACGGTTCTCCAGCACCATTAGCATCATCTTGACTTGGGGCTTCAGCATCTACTGCAATTTCATCATCTTTTTTCAATTCAACTGGCGTCGCTTGTGTTTCCTCGACACGAGCTTGAGGTTGGTCAACGGCAGGGCTCGTCGTTGCCTGTTGACTTGGTGTGTTTTGGTCTGCCTGTAGATATCAATTTACAGTGTTGGATTACTTAAATAGAAAACACATTATTTGATTTATTGAATCGAATTAATGGGTATCAAAATCCATAGCCTCGTTAAATTAGAATTTCAATCGGCACGAACATATCTAATCGTATTGAATTGGGCCGAAATCACGCGTCAATTTAGAAGTACAAACAGCCGCTCACAACTACGTGACGAGGCATTTCGACGAATAAATTAACTATATAAGTTTCAAAAATCCACTCCCAAACCTTAATTCTATATGAAGTATATAAACATATAGTTTCGTCTGAATCTGTGTCATACTATTCATTATTATTTTTATAACCCTAATTGCTACTGCTACAAATTATATAAATATGTATGTAATGGAATAAACGTCTTTTCTGACCGTTTGTTGATCTAAAGTAGTTCTTACACGACGCTTTTCAAAATCTCGTATTCTTGTCCAAAGGGATCTCATAAAGGATTCACGGGTTGTCGGCGATGTTTCCTCATTCACCAAATCTCCAATAATATAATTCATTAATGGTAAATATATAACCACTTTTCAATTAAACGTTGACAATAAAAACCATTATGATAACATGTTTTATTTGAATGACGTCTAAGTGGCTAGGTTTAGCCCCGGTAGATCAGCGTAATTATACTTTTTCTATTAATTTCTCTTTAGTAAATGAACTCACCATGTAAATAATGATTTGGACTATTCACGTGTATGTAGTACTGCGTGTTTTAAACTGACTGGAAAGTGTAACTATCTATTTTGGGAGAGCAAGCGGTGGTGTATAAATAGCGTGCGTACCTACGTCTTAAGTTTACGGAATTGATCGTAATTATGGATTAGGATATGCACCCATGCAGCAATTCTATGTTTAATAAACAGCCAGACTATATTATGGTTAACAAATTAAAGAATGATTTTTGCAGTACGATAAATTGCTTTCATTTTAGACTTCTCAGATTTCTTGACCTTTGATTTTTTTTGTAATTCTCTTATAATATGGAAGAGTAGTTTAATGGAAAGGCACCGGAACTGTTACCCTACATTTCCTGATCGGCAATAAAACAAATGGTATAAAATAATTATGACATGGTTGTGACACCCTTAAAAAATCAACTCACGCCATCTCGTGAATGATTTGGTTATTAAGATGTCACATCATTTATACTCATACAAAACATAATAAGTTTTACAATAAACACGAGCAGACAAAATATTAATAAAATAAGGTTTCATCCGGTAACTTTGTCCGCCGATGGTACGCCATTAATCGGATGCCTTAATTCATAGACACATATAGTTGCTAGAGTTGAAGAGGAAATTTTTTTATTATTCAATATTTTAAAACTACAACTTTTTTAAGCATAATTATATCCATTACAAATATTACATACCATATGTATAATGTTGGGATTAACAAAACGGTGCAATTTTTTAAAAGATGTAAGGTCACTGTCACTTTAAGATTTTTTTTTATGTTTGCTACAGAGAACTTTGTGTCCATTGTGCAATTATAGTTTAATAATTCACATCTGCAATAGAACATAAATTATAGTTAATAAAAAATACCTATCAAACAAATATAGTTTTACCAGTAATGAATTTAAGTAAATTTATATATTATTGTAAAGTTTTATACATTTTTACATACATTAAGTACTTTACATTCGTATTTGTTTTTCAGGCCTGGAAAAGCGAAAGATTGCTATTGTGAGATTATTAACTAGTGAGCAGCCACGCTTTAGGCACCGTCGTTGTTTGTCTTTAGCGTTACTCAACATTCTATATAACAAACAAACGAGTCAAACTATTTTTGTTATATACTAAAGAACTAAAAATCTGTTCTTCACCTATTGCACGAGATATTAGATAAAACATCACAACAACTGATTAATAACTGTACAATAGTAATACCAACAAAACCAATAACTATAAAAACCTCCAAATTATTTACGTTACATTAGAGAGAAAATTCAAAATTTGTTTTGGATTTTGGAAGTTCGTTATTTATCTTAAATTTGTGACAATTGACAGAAATTTTCTTGTTTGTGAAAATATTAATCTGTGAATTAGGATCTATGGGCTCTATAGTATATTCTTTATCTATGTATAAGGCCTAAGAACCACGAGAGTTAAAAAAGCGTTAGGTTTTTACCCAAGGTTGACGTTTTTATAACGTTCTAAATTTGCCTGTACGTACGAACACTTTTTAATCTAGTTCCGTCTTGCAAGTTAGTACGACGTGAGTATGGTTAACGGAAAGTAACGATAAAAGAAACGAAAACCATTTTTTTTATGGAGAAGGACAGACTAATATGGGGTGCACTTGATAATATGCCTCGGATATTTAAAATCTGTGGTCGTGATTTAAAAGCGCGTTCGTGTAAACATAGAATGAAGTAATATATGTGGTAATGCACTTGTTCTATTTGAACGCTTTTTTAACGTCCGTAAAAGCTCTCTTGTTTATGGGGTCTATCGTCAGCCTAACGAACAGTGGCTGACAGCGTCATAATTTGTCCATTAGACAAATCATAATCAAAGAACACAATATTTTCCAAGAGCAGTATATTATCAAAGTTCATAATTATAATAATTTAAATGTCCGTGCCGTGTACAGATTATATTTAACATCAAAGTAGACTCAAATTTTCTTTCTTAAATAATTGTTTTTATGATCATGTTGTGCATTTGTGGACCGTTTGGTTGACTTACGTTGTGTCGATAAAAAATTGGTATGCAAATTAATATGATATTGACGGTAAAAAGCGAACTTTCTCTAATCCACAAAATGTTCCCAATAACTTTATTTATTTTTTTACATATTACATTACTACATGCCATTTTTTTTTGGGAAATCTATTTCTTTTTTCTTTAATAAATAAAAAGTTTATCTTACTGAGTGTTGGTGTACTTTATATTTTGCTACACAAAGATTATTTAATTTAATGGACATAATAATATGAATAAATGTATTACAAAAAGTTTGCTTTTTACCGTAGACATGTATTATTTACAAAAAGGGTATACTTATGTGGTCAAATATTTTTATTTACTATGTATTATTGTTAACTATTATTATATATACATATTTATGATTTTAGATAAAAATGACTTCTGAAAAAAATGCACAGATTGGTCAAGCCAGAGAAGCATTTCAATTATTGTATCAAATATCACAATTACTAAATACTGGCTTGGATGCAGAAACTCTGAGGATTTGTATCCAACTCTGTGAACTGGGTGTAAATCCAGACACACTGGCTCTTGTCATTAAGGAAATTAGAAAGATGGGTGACACTTCTGCTCAGAACAAGCAAACAAACTTACAATTATAATTTTTACAGTCTATTAAATGTTTGATAAGAATACATGATGACAATACAACAATAAGTACATTTGTCATTGTAAAATAGCATGTACAATGTAAAAATGCCCCAAAATATGTCAAGTGAAAATGTTTTTATGTAAATTTTTAGACCATTTCAAGGAAATATTATCAATAAAAAAAACTTGAATTGCGTAGTAAAACTTTATTTTATCTAAACAATTACTCATACTTTTAAATCTGAAAAATTAATTACAAACAATTGAAAAGAAAGCTACAAGACTGGGCAAATAAGTCTTTATAGCAAACATAGATCAATTGTCAAAATTCAACTATATGGGAATAAATAAATAAGTTGAATTTGCAATGGATATAAAAATATGAGATTGTCGTACACACCCTATTAACTAAGTCGGTATGGTCTTGATGCATTTAAAATTTTACTGTCAGTAATAAAACAGAATATCACAGATATAAATAATTCACTGAAAACAGAGACTAACTTATTGAACTGTTTTATAGATTTCTTTTCTAAGTACTCAATTACTTAGTTTATTTCCTCTGGAGATATAAAATTATTTATTGCAAAATTGTAATATTATAGGAATTAGATGATTCAAAACAGATCAATAATAGTAATGTCTGTTATCTTGTGCACAAAACAATATTTTGAACACATTTAACTATTTCACTGGAAGGTTGGATTTTGGCTTTGACTTTGTCCTAACACAGAAGGGTCCTCGAATATAGGCTGTTGTGGTTTAAACTGTTCCGCTGATATTCTTGTAAACATAATTCCAATACCCTCTATTAATGCTAGTAAGATACCACCAACTAGAGCACTTCCTGCCATTGCTGGTACACCTGAAATTTTTTAAATTTTGTAAAGCCTAAGACAACAATAATTTTCATAAAATAGAGCAGTAATAAATTAATTACAATAAATAAATGTTGGCAGTTTAAATGACAAATTCTTATTTCTTAAAGAATACATTTTAATCAATCTCCTTTAACCACTTAAAGTTACATTTTCATGAGATGTAATATTTAAAAAAGTAATAACAGTAGCTAGTGCATCTAATCAATTCAAGAATGCTCTGTTTTACAATTTTAACCTAATGCTGCAATTTGGATGCATCTCATTCAATTGAATTACGCCTATAAAGTTATTCTAAAAGAGTTTAATAATCAGTGCAACAATAATAATAACCATTTCTGGCAGCCAGAATTCCACCCGTCAAAGCCCCACTCATTATTGAATTCCAAGGATCTTCTTTCTGCCTTAAGTACACAAGAGAGCAATCAATCGTTGAAAACATGCCACCCCACACTGCAAAATTGCCACCAACTATCGGAGACCTTTCTTTCATTGCTGCTAAACTCCCAAGCTGGAATAAATAATGTTATGTAATTGATTATTTTCAAGGAAACAAAACTCTTAACATTGAAGTAACTTTCAAGGTCGTAAAACAAAACAGACCAGAAAGTGACAGATTTACTCACCATTTTTCTACTAAACCCTACAGGTGCATTCCGAAATCCTTTAATGGAATGAAATATGCCTCCACCGATAGCGCCCATAAGAAACGCACCACCAGAGTCATCTAAAATACGCCAAGGACACGGTTCTCTTGAATATTCATCCATGCCTAAGTTTCAACTTTCAAGACTAAAGGTGAATAAAATTGGATAAGAACGAAGAAATAACCTAAAAAGGAATATAATTCTAAATTAAATGTATGTAGTGATTTCTCTCAGTATCTATTACCAGACATCTCACCAGTAAGAAGGAAAGTAATTTGCAACCCCAAAGTGTCGTTTCTTAATTATTTTTATTTGGTTTTAATCATAGAATTCATGGATTTTACATTAAATTAAAGTTCACTACACAGTTTCACAGAATCAAATATATCAAATATACTATAGACTTATAAAATAATGCAAGTCTGTGGCCAAATTGTAGCATATAAGTCAATTAAATTATAATGGTGTCTGTACTGTCTGTCCGTCTATCTGACATATCAAACATGACATATATTAACGTGATATTTTTGTGCTGACATACAAAATAAATTTAATGAAATATTATACAAATCGTTAAATGACGAACTGAAATTTCTATGGGAAGGATTTTTATTTCAGGTATAAAATACAATGACTATATATAATTTGTATATTTTTGATCGTTATGGCACTTTACTTTACTATGGAGAATGGAATAGATCCAAACAATCCGGAATGTCAAGAGAGGAGGTAATTTATGAAGTATGTTATTCTTCTATATAGCGATAGACAAAGTATTCATTTGGTAATCAACATATTTTTTCAGGAAGGAAAGTTGATGTATGGAATGTTATTTTCAATCAAATCTTTTGTTACCAAAATATCCCCACTAGATCCGAAAGATGGCTTTTTGAACTACAAGACATCTAAGTATACTTTACATTGTTTGGAAACCCCATCAGGGATCAAGTTTGTTATGAACACTGATAATCAAGCACAAGGGATCCGTGAACTCCTTAAGAAGATATATTCAGATATCTATGTAAAATATGTGATAAGAAACCCATTGTGTGGTATAGGTGAACCAATTATTAGTGAATTATTTAAGAATAAACTTGATGTTTTTATTAAGCAGGCTCCATTAACTGCAGCTCGAGCATCTTGAAGTAATGCTTAGGACTGTATACTGTGGTTAAGCTATTCCAAACTTAAGAGACTTATTGTTTACCATATACCTAGCAGTGTATTTATTACTGATGTGTTAAAAATTATGTGAGCAAATAAAGTCAACTGTGTAAGATTCTGTTAATTTATGACTTTTTCATTATTTGAAATATTGTTAAATCATTACTTTATTTGAAAATAATTTAATTAACAAAACATGAATGGCTACTGCTTCAAGTAACATGTAGAATTATTATTGTCTTTCTTTGTTCTTATTAACCATTGATTTTCGGCTCTTTTCTTACAACACTATGCTTTTCTGAATACGCTACTACGAAAAATTTAATGAAATACATGAACGCGTTGTTATCCCGCTTTTATTAATAATCTGTAACATTTTGAATTTAATGGCTTGTGACAATTCAACTATAACAATATAGAGAATATTAAAAGTCTGTGGTCAAAGATACATTTGTGTAATATGTCAACTTTTAAAACTAAGGTCAATGAACTAAATACAATAACAGAAAATAACGCTTGAAAGTTATACCTTAATAAGTTGACGAATAATACTTGATATAAGCTAATATTTATTTGTATGAATTGTATCGACAATAATATTCTTCGACTAACAGTTATGACTTCATATTTATGTCATTAAGGAAGTAAGAAATCCTGTAATGAGTGAAACTGACGACACTGATGTCCTTCTCTTGATTACACCAAACTTCTTCTTGGTACCAAGTTCAGAATCGGAGAACTCATTGCTGGAATCTTCACGAACTGTCGTTCATAAACCGGTTACTTGCACCGCACAAGTGCTTGGCAAACTTGTCAATCAAGTGCATTCACTTGAGTCTAGGTTAGAAGACCTCGAACTAGACTCTACCATAAGCGCCAATTCTCATAAAAAACAAAACTGGGCTTCTGATAGTTTTGAAAATCGTAGTGCCAACGGCAAATGCTTCACATTCCCTAGGAGACGTCGCCGCAAAATTAATAAGAGGCATATTGGTAGAGAGGCTTCATTGACGAGCTTAGACACGGTGGGCTCGCGGAATAAAACTGTGCCTAGCCTCAATCTGGGTGATTCCAAAAGAACCCTTCGCTTATATGAAACGCAAAGTATGGATGGTGATATAAGTAGTATAGTATCCACACCAAGTAAGAAAAACGATAAACTATTTCTCAATGAAATTGATGATTTCCTCACTAAAGTTGAATCTTATGAAGCACCAGAAACAAAGGCTGAGATAGAAGAAACTTTACACCCAGATAATGTAATAAAGGCTACAGGTGATTATATAACAAACAAATATGATCCTAAAAAATCTCCAGACAATGTGGTGCTGCCTAGTGGACGGACAGTGTCTAGTAATGTCTTGGATAAGTATATTTATTTGGTTAAAAATCATCAGAGTGCTGTACTCCCCGGTCGTAACAAAGAACAAGAACCAGCTAGGTCCTCTGAGAAACAAGAAATTAAGTCACCCAGTGTAAGGAAACTAAATTTCTCAGATAAGGACTTACAACCAACTTCTACACCTAAACGTCAGCAGTCTACTAGCAGTTATTCAGAGTTTAGACCCTCATCTAACAAGGTATATGACCGAGCAACAAAGATAGTTGAACATTATAAAAGTCAAAATTATAGTAAGGAATACCCAACATCAATGACGGATAGCTCAAATAAGGAAGAATTTAAAATGCCACAAATGAGACCTTTTGGTTATGACACAAAAGAGGGGTTGAGGATGCAGTTTGATTCCATAGACACAGATTTATTAAGTTTAAGTGAACTCTGGGGTGAAAAAGTAGAAAGAAGAGAGAGATCTGATAATATTAAATTAGAAGAGGAGCGATTAAAGAGAGAGGTAGTTATTCAATAGTGTATTTGTCAAAAACCTCAACTTTTATGTGATACTTTTAGGTCCTTATGCGTTTTTATAACAATAGATTAATAATAAAAAAGTTTCTACTTAAGTACAGTGCACCATTTTAATGCTGGTTTTTATTCAGTTATTAAAGCTTTGCTAAACCCAAGCATAAACAAATTATAAGTGCATTTTCATGTTATTCTATCATCATACAAACCGTCACAACCATCTTTAAAAATGTTAAGTAATCCTGTTCATGTTCTTAGCACTGTGAATCAATGATACAACAATTGCAAAGGAAAATCCTCGAACAACAAGAAAAGCTAGCTGTTGCAATGAAGGTAGATAAAGCTAAAGATGCAGCTATTACTAAGCTACGGGAGGCATGGCTTAAACTCACCAATAACCTCGATAAGGCAGAAGAGAGACACAGAAATGCATTGGAGAGGATGACCCAAGAAGTTGATAACTTTAAACTTGTTGCTCAAGATGCTCAAAAGGTTAGGATATTTCTATTTGATAATAAAGTATGGACTATTGTGATACATTTGTTATAGGTATATACATAGATTAACTAATCATAAACTTTTCGAGTATAGTACAAATGCTCTATTTATTTTGTTGTATCATCATCTAATATTGTTCAGGGCAAGGCCTGTATCTTTTATGCCAAGACCCTATTATAATAACTGTCATCCTTTCAATACTTTCAGAAAACTAACCATTTTGAGACAGAATTGTATAAGGCATTGGATTTGGCCCATGACTATCAAGAGAAATGCAAGCAGCTTACAGCAGAAAAGGAGGAACTAAATCAAAACATGGAGAAGGAGCTTAACAACAGAGATGAATTAGTTAAAACAAAAGAAAGGGAGATTAATGTGTTAAAAGAAAATTGTGAAACTGTTATGCGGTTGAATAAGCAGTCAACAGATTGTGTAAGAAATGTTGAAGAGGCTTTGGATAAGGTAATTAATATTCTTTAATAGCTTACTATAATTATAAAAAGCTATATTGTTTTACAATATATGCAACTGAAAAGATATGTAACTATTCTGCTATTGCCAACATACCATGCATTAATAGGTTAGAAGAGACTTAAAAATAAATTAAGTTAGACAAAATGCATTTTGTGCATAAGATAATTATTGTTCTAGGAAAAATTGGAGCATGAAATGACAAGGAGTAAAATAAATGAATTGAATTCAAAAATGCTACAGTTGGAAGAAGCTAAATCTTTAGTTGAACAAGAAAGAAATGTTTTGAAGGAAAAAGTAAATGAAGAGAGGTCAAGATGTAATATACTAGAACATCAATTATGTGATAGTCAGAACCAGCTCAGTGATCTGTTGAGGAAATGTGTAAGAAACCTTTTATGGTTTTTTGTTATAGTTTCTAAGTGTATAAAACTATTAAAAATTAAAATAAATAGACAAAAAAAAGTTTAGCGATTCAACGTGAAATGTCGGTGGACTGAGTGCGTACAACATTTCTCCTGGCTCAATTATATTTTTAAGTTATTCTGAAAAGCCAAGAAAAACCCTTATCATACCAACTGAAACTTTATAGTATTATATAGTAATTACACTTTGTTAATATTATAATAATTGAATGAAGTTAATATAATCATAAAATTACTATCATTAATTATTATTATTGATTGCAGGATAGTTTAGACAATGAAGCAAAGTCCCTTCACAAGCATTTGGAATTACAGAAGACAGAACTAAAAAACCACTACCAGCAACAACTGGAAGAAGCCGTTTTAGGCAAGCTTCAGGAGTTTCAGAGGCAGCTGGATCTGGCTGAAAGGGATATGGAAAGTGCTTCACGGACAAAAGAACACGCAATTGTCGATACTTACAACAAACAGATTGCGAGGATAGAGGAACAGTAAGTTTTAATTATATAGATATAAAATATCATTTAACAATATTTGTTGTAATAAAATATTGTTTTGAGACAAATTGACTTTTAAAATATTTATATTGATATGTTTTTTTGTGTCTGTCATAAAAACTATTGAGCTGATTCTAATCAAATGTTTCAGACATCGCCTTGAAGTAAATGTTTTAGAGGAAAAGCAAAGGGAAGAGATTAAGTTATGTAGACTGCAGCTTGCGCAAGCCACTGAAAAGATTGGATTACTCGAGGTGAGATACACAGTATATTAATTATCTGCCTGAAAAAGCTTTGAAGGAAGGTTAAGGAAGGTATAAAAACATATCCCATTAAATCCTATGTATATATTTTCTTTATGATTTTTTAAATGTTCTAGAGCAAACTTGAGAACTACCGCCGTCGTCGCGGCCAGATCGCTTCGCAACTACACAGTATAATGGAGGCACAATGGCGACAAGCACTTCAGATATTAACTAACGGACAGAACTCCTCATATAGGCCGCCATCCGAGTTTGAAAGGACTGATACTGGTATAATATTAAGTCATTTTTTTAGTTATTTCATGTGAATATTAAGTTACTTTTGGTAGGCGTTTAAAACTTGCTATGTGTTTAATAAGCTAAAATATATGTGTGTTTCTTCTTCCTTTTACCAGTATGCACACCATACCCTCAAGAGTACGTCCCGCCGAAGATTCCTCCACTTACAATGCCGCCGCTAGAGAAACTGCTCCGTGGCTCTGAACAACATGCGCAGGCGCACACCACCCATCCTAACAGTCGCGATATCAACTTTGAAGAACTGAGCGATAACGAGCTCCAGCAATATGTAAAAATGGTAAGGGAATTTTGATTTATTAATCAATGTTTAAAAAACTTTGTACCGTTATTATTTTTTTCTACATACCGAAGAATAAAATATATACCAGTATGCAATAAAGTTATAATTTTATACAATTAGAAAGAGTTCAGTATGTAACTTTAACATAAATAATGTGAGGTTACCGCATACATAACAGCAAACATTTTCATGACTTATTATTTTCAGTTACTGACAAAGCCACCGAATCTCGATCTGAGCGATCATAATATTGGGAGGGATCGACAATGTAGCGAGCAACCCACTAGCGATCGAGTAGATAAAATGGAAAGGTTTGACCGAATGGATAAAAAAGATAAAACAAAACCACACAATTCTAATAAACCACCTTGGAAGTCATAATGTTGTGTTATATACAGTCTAAAAACATACGACAATTTAAATGTCATATTTTTATACAATCTTAATACTATTATAGTGACCTCTTTACTCCGCCCACTTTAGAATTAATAATAAACTCTTGTGCCTTTGTGTTCCGGAATTTGTCATTCCACTATAAATGTTAAAATAGTTAAATAAGTTTATTGCAATAATGTTTATAAATAAAAAGTAATTTGTGTCTATTTATTTTATTTCGGCAATATGTTATGTTCATTATGTTAGTCTGTGATAAGACTCATTTTCGTATAATCACTTGTATACAGATACATATGTCAAACTATTATCATTCTGTCACAATAACGACTTTAGATTTTAGGTGATAGACATACCAACCAATTTTAGACCATGTGATTCATACTTCTGTAATATGTTCTAAAGATATTACGAATTTTAAAAGAATGAACAAGACGTCTCCGCGCCTTTTCACGCAAAACAACGGTTGCTAGGTCAGCTAGCTATCCGGTAGAGTAGGTAGGGTATCAAGCTTCAATGAGGGTCGCACAAACGTGTTAATATAACCATTTATTTCCAAAGAAATGCCAGTTCATAGAAATAAAATAATACAATGGCATCGCGATCTATACAACTATTAATATACATTAAATTAATCACAATGTTCAAAGGCAAGAACTTATACAAAATAAATGAGTTTATAAATTCTTAACAAATATACAAAAAAATATATATAATTTACACGATTTCGCTTAATATTGCGTGGCGAATAATATCTTATGAGTTACACATTATTTTGTTATGATTTAATCACGCCTATACATATAATATGTTTAATAATGCGTTACAATATTTGATTTCAGTCATTTAGATGCGCGGCTAGAAGCAGACTCAAACGATATAGGAAGATACGATTTCAATTAATCGATGTATATTCATCGATTATCAGATAATCGATGTGGAAGCTAATATAATTCGTAGATAAATTAGTATTAATGGAAAACGCAAAAAATACTATGTATGACAGAAAAAATCAATTTTGATATTATTTGGAGAATGAATAAATAAATAACCCTGATTCAAAGATGGCGGAAGCGCCGCGTGATATTTAGGTCTTCAATTGAAAAAACTTGCTTAGGTTACTGTCACTGGCAGTAAACATAACTTTTAATCACCTTATTCGAGTAAGATATACATAAATACAGTGTAAACTCTATATAAAGACACGCAAAGGACTGCATATATTGATGTTACCGAATTATTGAACGATGTGAAGAAGCAATATGTATGGTTATGGTATATAAAACAAATAATATTTAATTACTATCGCACACACTATGCTATTTTCACTGCACCAGAATTAAGTATTAGATCTTTATGATATTCAATTGAAGATTCGAGTTCTATTGAATAGTATACTATATAATCTATAACAGTAACGCTCTTTCATGTTCAAGTTTTTCAAGTCTCCCCGTGACCTCGGCTGCTGCAAAGGAACCGAAACGTCGAGCCGTAGTTAAAATAATATTCAAAACCGTAAAGTGTCTTATTTAAATAGTATTTCTCAATTTGTATGAATTGCGAAAATTCTTACACGTATCCTAAAGATCAAGTAATTTTTGATGAAAGACAAGGCATACCAATATAGACTGAGTCAAACTTTAGCGAGTCGTTGAGTTTACACTGTATTTGATACAACTATTTACGCAAGGGCTGAAGCTGGTAGCGAAGAGTGTTTCGGTTTAGCCTTATGAACGAACACCTTGATGCAGCCGTTGAAATCAGCGCTGACGAGCACGTGGCCAGTCTGCGATGAGGAAACCATACCTCCTTCGGGAGTCTTCTAGAAAATTCGAGTTCATTAAAAGGAATTCATGAAAAGAATGTTATTGTTTCTATGTAGGTAAATCCACAGGCTAAATATATTTATATTATAGCTTGTTATATGCACAAGGATAGTACTTTCTAGTCTCTTAACCGCAATTTATTAGATGCTAAAAGTTTCCAAAATCCTTTTCTAACGGCCAGCCAGTCTTACAAAATTGATAACATATCATTTATAGAACAAAACAATAGATTTTCGTTTGATACATAAAGCCAACTAAATGTTTTGGTTTTAGCAGAATCTTATTACAAACATCTATAGCTAAATGAATGAACAGAGAGTCTAGCATAACGTAAAACGCGAGAAGTCCTGGATTCGAGTCCCGGAGAAACAATAGATTATTTCATGCCGGCAGGGTATAGAACTCTAATCAACCACTTGCGTGTAATTAAGCGCACCCATTTTTGTTTCCGTTTCAATTCCCAGTAATGGAATCGGAAAAAAAATGTGGCCTTTTTAAATTTGCTTCCTCTGGCGTAAGAATAAAAAAAAGCACAATCTAACTCACCACTTCTTCCTTCTCCCCTCTACTCTCATTCAATTTCTCTTCCCTCTCATTGATCATTCGTATCATGTGGTCAGGATTTGGCGCGAAAATGGCGCACGTCACAACAGCATTGTGGGCCTTTATCCCTTCCCAGAAGTCGTTCCTGTCTCGTCGGACTGAAGTAAACTTGGAATAATCGTGACACGTCTTCCATATATAAATGCACTGGTTTTCTGAACCGCTGACGATGTATTTTCCGTCGTGCGAGAATGACGCCTTAATTTGACTCGATACATTCACGTAACCTTTAAAAAGTGTAAAATATTTCGTATTATATAAAGTTAGTGGTTGGAATTCATCTGGAAATTTGAATATTAAATGCGTGGTAGGAATATCGTAATTCTATCCGGGCTCAGAACACCGTCTCCAGATTGGCCGTGAAGTTTATCGCGTTTCGGTTACAGTCTGTGGATTTTAAATACTTAGATATTTGAAAAGCAGAATTAAGCATTTAATTGAGTGTTATTTGGCTGGAGTATTGCATCAAATACTTGCTTGTTACTCAGACCACAAAAACTCATTTTTTGTTACAATGTAGTGGACATTTCCACCAAGGAAAATCGGTAAGTCATACCTCAATGTACTTGGTATCCCGAAAACATTTTTCAATACCAAAGAGCGCAATTACAATATTATAAGAGATGAAAACCATTACATAAGATTAAGATAAAACAAATACGTACCTTTCCCCTTATACTTGCAAGACAGGTTTAAATCTCGCAGATCGTACAATCTGACTCTGCTATCATTGGAGGTCACGAGAATCTTATCATCATTTGGCATCGGTTCTATCCCGCTGATCTTACGTCCCGTTGAGTTCTTGCCCCTAGTGGAGCGAACATCTATCTGGGTGTGGTATTTCAACTGGTCCGTAGTGTAGAATATGCAGCGGCCATCGTACGTGCCGACGACAGCAAATTTCCCGTTCTGGCAGAAGTTAGCTGCTGTTATTAGTTTTGTTTTGCCGTCCACTTCGTTCCATACTGCTACCTATAAATAACATGATAGTGTTAAATAATTTGAAACATAAAAAAGTTCTATCCGAATGGCTAATGTGTGAAATATTTTGGACGATAAAACTTTTGCACTCGATCCGTTACTTTACCTACGCGAACATCATTCATTAATTCTCGGTCTTGATAAATGGAGACTTAACAACTAAAATAAGAATATCAATTCGCTTTAAAAGTTACTATATTCTATATCAATTAAAAAATATTTTTTATATTATTTTTACGACTTCATTTGTCTAATGGTATGGTATTGCTAATAATCGAAGAGCCATTGGTTCGATACCTACCAGACGCAACATGATTCTAATCAAATATAATGATTCTAAACAACCTCCTTTGTAAATCTAGAAATAAAATGGATGCTAGGAATATAGACATTCCGTGCCAGTTACAACTAAACAGATAAAAAAAAGGGAAGTTTAATCCGGTTTCGCTTTAAGACTGAAATTCTGTATACCCAAAGCCAAAAATAGGTTGAGAGTGCATTTAGTTGAAATGGTATATGGCTGGGGTATTTGACCATCATCAAGTGAACCAAATACTTGTTTGTCCTCTTCTATCATAATATAAAATACCTTTTTATCTGGAATGTTCCAGAGCCTCAGTTTTCCGTCGAGACTGCCAGACAGGAAGTATCTATCGTCGCGCGGATGAAACACGATCGCAGTCACAAAGTCTATATGTTGGAAACAGCAGAGGCACTCCCCACGCGATATATGCCACAGGCGGACAGTTTTGTCCATAGAACTGGATAGAATAAAGTAGTTCTTAGACCAGGAGACGTCTAGTAGGTCGGAGTTGTGTCCAGAATAGATGCAGAAGGGGCGGGGCGAGAATGGAGCACCTGGTCCCAGAGGGGGTAGTTGGTCTGGAGAGGGAGGTGGGGCCAGAGACGCGAGAGATTCCTGAGATGGGGTTGGGGATGACTTTTGCTCTGCGTTGTATTTCGTCCGCATATCCTGGAAGAAATGGTTGATTTTAATTTCAAAGTTCAATATTTTATTCGACTGATACGCGTAAACTGCCACGATTAAATTTAAGAAAGAGACATTTTTTTTATGACTGAAATATGGTTAACGAAATATATGTTTTACCTGAAACATGTGATGTGCATCTCTAGTGACCCATATTCTTAGCAGTCGGTCCTGTCCAGCTGTGGCAAGCAGTCGTCCGCAAACGCTAAATTTGCAGCACCACACCGCGCCACTATGCCCACTGTGACCTGAGCCTAGCTCCTGTAATTAATAAAGCATAGCCCATAAACGAAAGACAGTATTTAATTAATTTTAAAAGAGTTAATTCAAATATCTAACTTATTGGGCTATGGTATTAGCAGGGATATAATATCAGTAAACAAAACACTCACTCATTCCTAAGACTTAATCCATGTTAAATCCGTGGGCAAATCTAATGCAAAGCTTCCAGACCGTAATAACACGCGTTTCAAACTGTCAAGTGTTTAATTTTTACAAAATTTATATGTAACATGTAAGACACCTTCGTGTTTGTAACCCCAATTTCGTGCAATATGTCCAATTTCCAAAACGAAGTGTGGAAAATTAACGGCATATTACATGCATACTTCTTGTCAAAAAAAATTGACAACTTCGTGTCAAAAATTAACGAGACATCGTTTGAGTGTTCGTATTATTGACACAATTTATCAGTGAAGTTGGCTTATCACTTTAATATAAGGCAAACTGATTTTATGTGCTCATCCGATAGAAAATATTATATCCCTAGTAATCAAACCCTAGACCTCCGTGGTACACGCAATATGTTAAATCATTAGGTCTGAACTGGTAATTACACCTTAATAGGTATATTTAAGTAATCATAAACATACCTGGACATATCTCACGCAACCATCGAAGTCATACGGCCCCTTATGTGAGTTAGATGCTTTCAGCTTTATGTTGTGTTCGCCCCGAACATCGTCAGCTATCTCGGCGACGTCTTCTTTGTGTCTCGCATGTGACACTTCTTGAGCGAGAGACTTCGCAGCGTCAACTGTCTTCTTTACCGTGGTTCCGAAGAAGCGCTTTAGTCTAGACGTCAAAAGAGGTGTAACTAAAAGCTATTAACAATTGGTTTAAAACTCAAACTGTTTCTTTAATCGTGTAAGGCTTTCACGGCCATCGATCAGCATATCATTGTTTTCCGGGCTGTACGGCCGACGTGAGCGAGAAGAGGTTCTCGACGTTTCGCCATCACGAGCGGACGCCATCGTCAATTGCTCGAAAAATTAATTCTTCAGCTCGTGATGGCCACTACCACATCTCTGATAGATTTATTTTTAACAGTTAACAGTTTGAGTTTTCTACACAGGATTTTAGTCTTATAAAAGCAAAAATTTAAAAACTGGGATAAATATGAGAGGAAATTTAAAGCGTTAAGAATCACAATATGGTTGAACAATGTATTAATAAATGTATGTACAAGTATCGTGTGAAGTTAGTTACTTAAGGTCGCAGTATTTGTCTCGTAACCAACTTCAGAGACTATACGAGTAATTCATTGTTGATAAAGCTTAGTTGTGGCTGTGGGACATGAATTGATGAACACACGTTTATAAGTATTGACAATTTAATTATTGTCAGAATATTGGGGTGATACTTCAGCAAAACCAAGCATCATATAATGGCGTCCCAGCAGTGGGAAAAACGATCACCTGATATTTATGTTGTCGTGGGAGTGACACTTCACTAGCTCAGCGTGGATTACACTGAATATTCAACCTTATATTAGATCAGTTAAAACATATTCTATACAAAAATCTATTCTTTAAAAAATCTATTATTTAAATAAATGTTACAAAATCACATCAAAATATTAGTGTAAAATTATTTGACTTATTGTAAATTAAAGATATTTTATATAAAAAAAAAATAGGACACGGTAACTCAATTAGTTAGCAACTGTACAGAACGATGTACGTGATGGTTCAAATACTGCCCGAGTCGTTTTTTTAAATCTAAAAACGTGAAAAATATTTTTTTGAAATTTATTACTTATTGTATTGTTTTAAATTTCTTAAACCTTAATTATATTCTTTGTGAATGTCCTAGGATATAAATGACTATATCTATGCAAAACGTACTTCTCAGTCTTGCGTTTGATGGCCGTTGTCTGTCGGTCAGCAGACTCCCTCTTAGCTTCTTTTGTTTCATCTTCAACTCCACCCGCACAAACACTCTCACTCTCTTCATCTGTTTCCCTGCAAGTTTAAGAAATCTGCATAATATACAGGTACATGTATGTATGTGTGCTAACAAACACACAATAAACGTACAACAAGGCATGCACAAAAACGTGCAACAACTTTCAGACAACACAACGGAAAACATACAAACTATACTGTGATTACAACAAAAAAAAAATGTTTTAAAAAGCATGTTTCACACAAATTCATACTAAGTTTCGTTACTAACACTAGACACTTATTGATAATGGAAAGCAGTGTTATCAAACTACTAATACTTAATTTGAAAAAAAAAACAAAAGTAGATGGGATAGTTAAATTCCCCTTAGGGTGAAACTATAACTGACAATGATTCTACCATATCCAGGGACACAAATCTTGGATGAATTCATACTTGTATTTTATATTTCTTTAAATAAATAACATTTTAAATTCTGAATTTTAATATCGTGTACATATAAGCTTTTTGTTTAGATCACGCGGTTTATCGGTTCTAAAAGTAGCTAGACTCTTGGTCATGCAAGGGCATGCCAAGGGTGCCCTTGGGGGCATCGGCCTGGACTTGGACCGTAATGTGAATGGGAACTTGAAGAGTAGGGATTCACCTGGGTGTGAGGGACGCGGAACAAAGGACCTTGCCTTCGCTGGTGTGAGCGGTTAAGTCGTCGTCGAGGTTATTTTTATCGGACACGGTGTGTCGGAACAAACACTAGGTTTTGTTCACGATCTGTATTGATAGCGACCAACTAGTCATATATAAATTAAAAATCAATTTTAAATTTGAAAAAAAAACTACGACTACGTTTTTTTGTTTAATTTTTCTCAACTGAATAAGTTCTTTTTTTTTATTTTCCTGAATAAAAATCAATCAAAATTTGATTTTTAATTTCTATAGCATTATGTGCAATAACATTTGAAAAATATTAAAGTTGTTAAACATCTTGTTTCAGTTACATAGACGCTAGTTTGTTGGACTATAATGTCAAGCTTCAAGATCCGTGTCCCCGCAATAGGCCGTAGTCTTGGACGTTTAAAGCCATAACAGTAATAAAAACCTAGTATCTATGGAGAGGGTAGATATAGCTGGGTGGATTGGTGCGGAGGGTGAACGACGTAAGACTCCAGCGCTGTAACTTATGGACCAGCGTTTCCGCCACACGCTCGCTGGCTTTCTTTTGAGGCTGTAGGCAATGTGACTTCTTCACAGTATACTTTAGAATGCTTTACCTCTTCGTAATTGTCATATGAGAAAACTACGATTGTTTTTTTCAACAAATATCTTTGTTGTGTATAAGTAACGTCTGACAGTTACGAATTTCGATTATAGAATTCGATATCTAGAAATGTAGATAGGAAAACCAAATAGTAAATAATGTTTAAAAAGAGACAAACATATCTTGTACTGTCGTTTTCATGAAGTCACTTCAAAATAATTCAAAGTATACTTCCAAAGAAAAGTTATTTGAGAATTTGTAGTAATTAAACTGTTTGGTATATAGTGGTGGTTTTAACATGCCCATACTAAGTGTTAAAATGCAGAGCTATCTATTACAGCTACGGTGTGTTAGTCATACTTTAGCATTCAAACGTGCACTGTATATATAAGAGAAAACAGTCTTTTTATATATTTGGGAATAAATTTGGAAAATCTTCCGAAATATCTTGGAATATAAAAAACGCTGGCAAACATTCCTTTTAACAACTTTTTACCCTAACCAAACCAAAAGGAAGAGACATAGTGTTACCAGTCTAATTATTTATTTATGTTCACTATAGTATTAAAACTTCTGAACTGATTTTGATAAAAGATTTTGCTACTAATCACAAGTTTAAAATTAGACTTCATATAAATTTAATATCAGAAATATTTTATAATTTTTATTAACTCTTTAAATCAATCGTACAAACCCATTTACATATTTAAAAAGCTATGCCGAGATATGAGCGTCCTCATTTAGTTATCCCTTATTATAATGTAGGTAGTTTTCATTTTAGCTACTATATATATATAGGTACCTGTTGTGCTCATCATCGTTAGTCCGTCCGATGTACTCCGAAGTCAATCGCATGATGTGCAAACTGAGCGGGTTTATACACTGTGGCAATTTATGTTCGGCGACACTGAGTGGCATGCGTTCTCCTAGAACAGGCCACACTGTGGGTATGTGTTACCCATCATCTTACTGAATGTTAAACAAAAATAGTACAAGGGCTCTTGAGTTGTGCTATTAAAAAGGGTGTTTTAACGAACCAAAAATCGAAGCGATGTGAAGTACCAATGTACAATAGGCATTGGTTGCATGTATATATATTATTTTATCTTTGCGTCGAAATGAAAATCGATAATTTTTTGAGTTTTTTTTAAGAACTGCGGCTAGAATTGTCTCTATTCTACAGATCATAAGTCTCTTTACTCTATGGTAGTTCTGATGGAGAATCGATCAGGTACTAAGTGAAATGATAAAAGTATTTATCGTAAATAGTTACCAGTGTCAAGATTGAGAACGGTGACTTGTTCTAGAATTTCAATATCAGAGAGCTGTCGGCCAGACACACAGCGCGCCCGCAACCCACCCTCATTTTCGTCTTCTGCAGGAGAGTCCCCGGCAGAGCGGCGTCGTGCGCGGGAGCCTTCAGAACGCCTGCTGTAACAGTTAAATTTACAAAAAAAAAATAAACGATTTAAATATTCTTCACATGACGACTATATAAATTGAAAATCGATGATAAATTAAACAAAAATTACGACACGGGCAGGCCTTGAGCAGGCACCGTGTCGCATTGGTTAGTGCAACAGTACGAAACCCGGTGAATGCCGGTTAAAGAATAAACCATATTTTGTTTGTATTAATACAATATATTTTGAGACCCAGTAGCTTTTTAGTAGAATGCATTTAAACATTCATACCTATTAGTAGAACCAAGACTCGAAGCGAGAGGCCTGCTTTCGCTGTGCGTCCGCGCAGCTCTTCCCTCTCCCTCTCCCGCCCGTGTACCTATCAAGGTAATAAAATGCTCAAAAGCAGAAAAAATAAGGAATATGGAATTAATATTTTATTAAAAACATGCACGTACCATTAAGTGTAACTGTAAGATCATTGGTTGCCGCATACTGATGAGCTAGAGGCGCAACGTGGGCGGTTTGAAGCGCAGGGTAGAGGGGTCGGGTTGGGGGAGGTGCGGGGGATGACCACGTTTCTGTCAGAGACATATCGCTTGCTGAAAAAATATTTTAGTCGATAAAAAAAAGAATAGTATATACAGACTACACTATAAACAGGTTTAGTTAGTTAAAACACTCACAGTATAGTTTTTTAAAATCAAAAAATTGTTTCCAATTGTTCCTAATGCCTTCACTATTGAATTATTATTTTTATTTTGTCTGTGGAAACAGTATATTATTTGAAAACTTTATTATTTTTTACATGTTATTGCACATGAAGGCACTATATAATTTAAAAATTAAAAAAAAATTCCGACTCGGGAAGGACTTGAACTGGCATCGTCAGCGTTCCATTAAGGTAACAGCACGGAACGCTGACGATGCCGGTTCAAGTCCTGTCCGAGTCGATTTTTTTTTCAATTCCATTTCGATTTTTAAACAGTATATTATTTTAAAACTTACCATATTTGGAATGAGACAATTCAAGTGAATCTTGAAACTCCCTGGTGAGTGACTCTATGGTGCTGGCGGGACTCGGTAATGCTATACTTTGACTAATCGGATTGGGTGGAGCAGGCTGAAACATGTACATACATAATACACATTATGTCAGACTCTTTAGGACCATCAGAAATAATTTTTGCTAAAGAAAACTTGAATTTTTAAGAAAAATCTGTTCTTATCCACAAGCAACATTTTGTAGAAGTATTGACAAGTATCCTAGCAATATAAAATGAAAACAATTCTTTAAGTTCCATCACAAAACATTGTAGTAAAAAAAAATCACTACAAATTCCACAAAAAAAAATCAAACAATATGACCTCTAGCATAGTCTTTTAGCAATCGACTCAATTCGATAAACCAACCTCAACTCGCAACGAATCGAGATGCGGTTTGTCCCTGCGCACGTAGCGTAGCTCATCTGTGTCTGTGGTACAAACGCTCAAGTTGTCTCCATCTGTTGTAGAGAGAGATTGGGATCCGTGGAGTTTGTCTGAAATGTTGAAAATTTACTTTTAAAATGTGTAGTGAGACAATCACAGTTCAATTATTTATTCTAGTCTTCCTTGCACTGTTCATAAGTGCACATTTGAAAATAAGACATTCTTATAGAAAGATAAGCTAAGCAATATCTTCCAGGCAACTCTATTAGGAAATACGAATAAGAAAACACATATATACTATAAAATTCAAATTGTGTGCTTTCTTACTTCGTTTTTTCTTTCTAGGTGGCGCCACAGGAGTTGGTAAAGTTGAAGTGTGGGATACTGCTACAATAGCGGCGGACGAAGTACGGTTTTGCTTCAAACTATTCGCCTTCGTACTGGCTATAACATCGGGCTCCGCCATGGCTAGAACTGACAAGATGAAAAAATAAATTTAAGTGTAAATGCAAAGAGAGACAAAGAATATCCGATCAACAAATTAATAAACAAACCTATTTATATATACATAAGCAGTCTCATAGAAGTTAATACAAAGCAGAACTATCTCTCATTCATATTGTAGTGTATTGTATACAGATTAATCTTTTAAATTACAAAATAAATAAACCAACCATTCTGTGTTCTATTTTCACTAAGAGGGTCTTCAGATATTGTTGAAGGATCTCTGGAAGACGCTGGTGCTGGTATATGTTCTCGTATATTCGCTGAAGACAGACTTAATCTTAATAATATATGTATTGCCAGTATTGTTCCATGAACTGTTTTTTTTTCATTCACATTGAAAGCTGATGATAAAGAAGATGAACAAGGTATATATAAAATATTCTACTCACGATGAGATTCTGCAGCCCCGCTCAGAATTCTGCCGATCCTTCCCAACGAAGTCATACTTTGCAAACTCATCGTATCGTGGGATATAATTCTGAAATTCAACACATTACTTATACAACAAGTATTAAGTACAATTTATTAATAGTCAATCGATCAGCGGAACGAATAAAGTCTATGTAATATGCCTCATAAAGTCGTGGCCCACTTAAGGTAAAAGGAGATTTCGCACACACAAATAAAATTCATGGAAAAGCTTCCCGAAATTTTATGTCTAAAAAAGTCAATAAAGTACTTAGCAATAATTCGTTTGATATTTTTATTATTCAAGCAATTAATACCAACGTCTTGTCACCGAATGAAATAACTAACAGCCAACAAGTATTGTATAATATAATCGGTGTTTATAGACTTTGCGTGCGCGCTCTGTCCTAGTTAAACAGTAGTTGTAGACGCTTGAAGAAGTCATGCTTCATAATTTTTAAATACTAATACCTATAGAATAACTTTGATTTTAAACTGAATATTCCATCGGGTCGGACGAAATATTACTTGGATTGTTTAGCGCGTATTTTAAAAATAACGAAACAAGATCAACTTTAAAGTAAGTTAAAGCTTAAATATTCTGAAGTTGAGAATTATATATACATATTATATATTAAGATGATATCAAGATATTATTCTCTTATTATAACTAGGCCTAAAAGAATTTAATATAAATTGTATAATTCAAATATAAAAAAAATAAGACCTAGCGTTATTTTTAGTTATAATACAATTTCAAGTTGCCCTAAATAGAAATAAAAAGATTCCTAAAACAAAAAATATAAAAATCATATTGTCAGAAGTGGGATTCGAACCCACGCCCACAGAAGTGGACTGCGACCTGAACGCAGCGCCTTAGACCGCTCGGCCATCCTGACAGGCATTCAATGCGACGAAAATAGGGAAGTAATCAAGTATGTAATAGAACTATAAGAACAAAACTTAATCAAATGTTGATTGTATATAGAAAATTATTCTTTTGAGAAAGTTGACTTCAAAGAATTATAAATTGTAAACTTCTATGTAAGTTTATAATACACATCATTCTAGATGTTATGCTAGGACAGTATAGTATGAGATAATTGATATTATAATTTCTCTTTTTAACCAATAGCCAAAATATGTCTATAGTAGTGGTTAGAAAATGAGAACTTGTAAAATAAGTCCTTAATTTTAAGGTTTATGAGTCACATAAACAATGGCCCCTACACAAATACCATTGTGTTAAATGAGTATAACAAGTAGAAGTAAATGTCTTGAATATCACAGAAATAAATAACTCACTTAAATGGATGTTCCAATGCATATGCATGTTCTGAGCTTTGTTGCACCTCTGGCTCGTCTTCTTCTTCAGTCTGCATACATCTCCTGAGTTCTTGAAACCTCCGGCGCCCTTGCACAACCTGCATTATGGGATATGGATGAAAAATAAGGTATATACAATATTACAAATATATTCATTAGATTAAAATAATCATATGATTTTAATATATATTAGAAAAAAGGCATTACAATTATTTGATTGATTATGCTAATTAGGATGACTAGTTGGAAAGAAATTATTTATCAAAAAAAAATATTTGTCATTATTGCCAGAAATTTCTTTAGTATCCACCTGAGTTCCCAGGTCTGATTTTTATTAATAAAGTAAATTAATTATTATTTTTATCTAAAACTGTAATACAAATTACATATGACTAATTAAGTGAATATTTATGAAAACACTGGCTCACAATATTATAAAAAATTTTTTACCATCATTTCATATTATATAATTGATAACTGAATAGCTGTGTGAGCAGGTTTAGTCTTACATGTTTTACACTTGACCGTTCATCCACTGGTGTTTCTTTTGTTGTTATACTAATGGGGGTGTTTGAAGTCGGTAATTCCTCAGCTTTAACCGTTCTTAGTTTTTCTTTGTCTGAATTATTGGAATTGTCTGTTACACTAGTACTCTTGCATAAAGATGATCTTCTGCAAAATAATAAAAAAATATTCCAGTATGTATTTTATAAATATTTATAATTTTATAAGATAATGCAATATCTTTATTAAATTTGAACACATTTTGAATCCTCAATCAACCCTTCACTTACTTTTTAGCAAGATAGTTGAAAAATACATTTGTATACATTATTCACAAGCGATCACCACTGTAGCCATGTAACATTTGAAATAAAAGAAACAAACACTTTGGCCTTTCAAGAACAAGTTTTAAAAAATATAAGGGTTTTTTTGTAAATAACTACTGTT